TTGTTGTATTATTCAACCTGCGTTTGTCAAGCAAACGTCTCATTTTCGTAACTCACCGAGTGTAAAGGAAAAAGTTAAGCCACCGGGCGCGAGCGCTGGTAAATTCCATGCCGTGTGGTCTTATGCAATGTATATTGAGCTCATTAGAGCAACATTATGAGCGAACGTATTATCGCTGGAGTAATATCGTTCCGTGTTCAACGCAATCTGCGAGTCTCTGATGTTTACCTGTTACTAGGAATGATAATTTCTCGCGTAAAAAATATTTATTTTTGCCGTAATCCGACACGCTCGCGCGAAGGAAGCGGAACGCGCTTTGCCGGCTTAAATCTCGTCGAGTCACTACCGTTAAGTACGATTAATTATTTTAAGTTCTCCACTTCGCGAGCATTATGCAGGACCCATTGTCTGCTTTCCGCGATCGCTACGAATCTCGCACGTCCCGCCTGCATCTCGCATATTCGCAAAGCTTTTTTGATACTGTCCGATATGTTCGCGCCTATCCGCGAGCTGCAATTATAATCGATTTTGCAACGCTCAATGCGTGACGCGCCGATGCCAGATATGCGGTACAATAATTTAATAGCCATTTGTTTGACGTCCGCTCGCTGGACGATTCCTGATTATGCAGTTGAGATGATCTCGGTATCGTCCTTAATGGCATACTTTCTTATTGCAGAGGTATAATGACGTTGAAGGTACTTTAATCCTCCGATTATTACAGAGATCTCGTCGCGTTACGCTCGAGAACCTCGTAATATTTTTACGAGTGTCGCGAATGTGCCTCGTATATTACACATTTAGACAACCCTGACAATAATAAGATTTTTAATTTTCTCACCGCGTGAGGAATGTCAAAGAATTAATGCGAGATATCGCGTCGTGTAAAATTGCACGTTGTACGCTAACCGCAGCACATTTATCGTTAGCCCGACCATCCGCTTCTCTCGGTTCTCCCACGAAGCGTCCTCCAGCAACTCCCCGCGACGAACAATGTCTCTGTTTTCCGTTTCTCCCCCGCCGCGGAAACCATTTTTATTCGCCACAGTATGCGCTTCATAATCTTTGTCGACTCCTCGAATGTCAGACTTCTTCTTGCCCTGACCGCACATCCTCCTTCCTCGAACCCGCTCCTGCAACCCCCCTTTGCCGAATGTTGCCTCGCTTTCTTGCCAGAGTTTCTCCTCAGGATAGAGATCGCCTTTGTGCTTCCATCGACCCCGGCTGACAGGTGGAAATGGACGATTAAACGATCGACAAACCCGCCAAGAATTGTCTGGAAGCGTCAGTCAGTACGTCCGCAAAAAGTAGTCGCATTCAAAACGAAGTGTGTTTTCCAATTCGCCGTTTACATCTGCAACGTTAAAAGAATGCTACGAGAGAATGAGATAAACGAGCTACACTTTGTTTGCGACGAACATTGTGAACCAAAAGTTTTTCATCGTAGCGGATGCGTCGACGTTTTTCGAAATTTCTGGCAAGAGAGATTTTAATTATTGGCCCGTTACCAGTTCTCTGATAAAACGCCTTGACAATTATCTGTCTTCTGGATTTATTCAAGTTCCTAATACTGCCAACTATCTATACTATCGCTATACTATCGCTAATGAAAAATAAATTTTCGTTCTGCACAGCACAAGAGCGTCCATTTGAATTTGTAGTACTAATAATTTTACGGTCTAGATATTTCTAGAAACAAAAATTTCGATAAAGAAAGATGCGACAATCTGAAAGAAAAGATCAAGTTTTTTGAACTTGGCCACGTTATCCGCCATAATTATTATTACGATTCTCATGTCATTATGTATTTTCCTTATCCTAGAACGCTCGCATAGGATATCTAGAAAATATATACATCGGTGCAGGAAGAGAAGGCAGGCGAGAGGGCGATGAAAGGAAAAGGGAGGGTTGAGTTCGAAAGAAGAAGAAGGGGGTTGTGGCTAAAAGAGAGGAGCGATTATTTATGGCACGGTTGGATGGTGGTGCGTCCGTGCCATGCATAGACAGCACCTCGTTCCGCTCGGCAAACGAATGGCTCATTTTCTGTCCGCAAGCGTACGGAAATGCCGCTCGAGTGCGGCATTTCTTAATATTCGCCGATATCGGGAGATAACCGTGGTAAGCCGCGTTTCCATAGAAACGTAATGTCGCCGTGTTTCGTGATCGAGCGGTCATGCAACGATCGTGCTCTGCTGGAACGTGGCATCCTGTGTACGAATGCGCGAATTTGCATCCGTTTCACTCGGTATCTGCTGGTAATGTTCATTTTCAACTTAGGCGCAAGATCTGCTCAGGCAAAATATGGAATGGCATCAATCACCTCGTTGCTTCAACGATCGTCATCGACAACGCGCGAGACACGAGAATAAATCATCAGCTCCACGAGAAGAATCAAGACGATTTATCAAAATGGCGCGTACACGAACACAGCCCGTTCCATCACGTTAAATCATACATACGAAGGTTCAGATTTTTGTGGTCAACGGTGACGTAGGAGAGAGAGAGAGAGAGAGAGAGAGAGAGAGAGAGAGAGAGAGAGAGAGAGAGAGAGAGAGAGAGAGAGAGAGCTTGGGAGCCGCGCCGTCATCGTCGTCGTCGCCGTTGTCGTCGTCTTCGTTGGAATGGAGGTAGCTAGCCGGGTTCCTCTTCTGACGGAGTCGTCGGAAAAAGAGAGGAAGGGAGGGAGGACACGGTGGCGGGACGGATGCAGCTTTTCAGAAGAGCTTTTACGAGTCGCATATGTGACCGCCATCTCCTTTATCCCCCGCTTTATATTCCTGGCACCGTGTTACATCCCTCCTACCCTCCGGTCGCCGGCTTCTCCGTACAACCATCACCTCAACCCTCGCACCGCACCGAGTCCGCTCCGTCACGGGGGTAAAGGGTGTCGGGAGGAGCTCTACCACCACCACTAGCACCAGCACCAGCAGCAGCAGCGGCAGCAGCAGCAGCAGCACCAGCACCATCACCATCACCATCACCGCCACCAACAGCCCTAGCCGCGTCGACCCTCGAAAGCTTCGCGAGGAATTCCTTTTTCATATTCACTGGGGAGTGATAGTCCGACGTAACCTAACAAATTTCCAGCCCCAACCCTACGAGATACACCCTCTCAGTCTCGTTCGCCCGAACGCGCATTTAAATCCTCCAAGATCTCACTCAGCTCGCGCGAGAACCGATCCTCTCGCGCTGCTCTTCCCGTCCAGCCCTTCCACCCCCGTTCGCCATTCCACCTTCGACCACCCTACGAAAAGCATGGTCGACCGCCACGACCGCCCAGGGACCGATTCTTCCCACGCACAATTTACAGTTTCACATTTTATTCCCATCGCGCGTTCGACAGCGGGGGGTTGGGGCAAGCGGGGGGGCTCCACCCGGATAAACTCGTTTCTCCCTCCCGGTCGCCAATCATCTTTCCTGCCGGGTTTCTGCGGTTTCTTACGGCGAACGGGGGGGTCTCTGCCCGGAAGTCCGTGGAATTGTTATTTATTATATTGGAATTACATTCGGAGGTGGCTATTCGTTGACCCTTGCGATCACCATAACGGAGAATGTGAGTAATTAGAACATCAAAGTGGTCCAACCGTTACTGTTCTGTATTAGTGAAAGTCAGCGGAATGTGATCAATAGTCGTTCTTAGTTTTAAGAGGGCGAAACTTTACATCAGAGTCGCGTTCGAGATGTCACATTGATCATAACGATCGACCTCGATGAAACTTATGGGCATTTCGTTCAACTATAAATGGATTATTTACGGCTATATAATTACATTAGCATGCTGTTGTGCCTTATTGTACCTTTATGAAGGCTCAATTGAGCGTAACGAGATATTTCCCCGTAATTGAATAATCAGCAGTTAATCAAATGTTAATCAAACGATAACGATCGGACAGGCCATTTATCACGATAAACCGAACGAACGCAGGATAATTATTCACACAGTCATCTGAATAATTGTTGGAAAAATTAATGGAAGATAAAGGAATTGAAAGTTGTCAAACGTATACGATCCTAAAAGTGCTCCATAGCGAGCAATTAAATCAATGATAAGCTCGCTCATGTATTAAAAGGACGCCTGATAAATTCTTTTTTATATATTTGATTACACACAGTCACTTGCAATCGAATCATATCACCTCATCTCCACATGATTAACAATATAACGACATAACGACGACGTAACAATCTAAATTGTGTCACACGACTATTGTATTTGTAACAAATCTGTCCAATTTTTCGCGTCGTGTCGAAACAAGGACTTGACAAACAAACGATAATAATCTATTAACCCATTAAAAACTGGAGTAAAATTATTGCCTCGACGTTATTAACACTATATCATTGCGATTATTGCAGATGTTATCGGGAACCACGACATGAATTACAGAGGATGAATTAAGAGAAGCGGCTTGAAAGCTGTTAGCGTCGTATTTATAGTCCGAGCAGACTATGTGGGCGGTCACTGATCTACGATCGTGACTAATCGATTACTAGATCCGATTAAAATACGTAGTAATTCAATTTTTAACGGTCGGCAACTCCAATCGATCTCGGTTTTCACGCACGATCGCGTTTTTCCTAAATAACTGATTGTCTTTCTTACATGTAACGGTTATGCCATGGTTATGGAAAGGCAGAGAGAGAGAGAGAGAGAGAGAGAGAGAGAGAGAGAGAGAGAGAGAGAGAGAGAGAGAGAGAGAGAGAGAGAAAGAAAGAGAGAGAGAGAGAGAGAGAGAGAGAGAAGTTACATTTTACCGAGATTAGTGAATAGCTATGAATTTACAATAATTTCCCCGTCGACTCGATCGTAGTGCTACCAAAATATCAAACGACGGAGGTCTCTTTGGGACATTTGGAAATTTTTATTTATACCGTACATTAATCTATTCTCCTCCAGCGCGCGATACTTGCTCGAAAGCGCTACGTCTCTTCTCGCTGTCACGACAAAATATAATTATAGCAGCCTAATGGATTAACGTAACATTCGCCTTTATCCGCAGCACGTGCGAACGGCGGCGGCGCGGAAGAAAGCGGCCGGTCGGCGGGACGATAAATTACAGAGAACGAAACGACGGCTGAATCACCGTTCACTCCGAGGAGACATTAAAATGCCGCGTAGCAAAAATCGGACGAAGTGGGAGGCACCGTGCTGCATTTTGCGTCACGGTCACGCAAATCCGCCGTCGATTGGCACGAGTTACGGCGTCGCGAAACGGTTGGCCGCGGACACGTCCGGAAGCCAATGACGGATCGGCACAGCAGAGAAACGGAGCCATTAGCTGAGCGGCGAACAGAAGAAACGACCTCGCGATCGCCGTGACGAGAATCCGCCGTCGGATGTTGATCAACGGCCGATGAATCGGCCGCGATCAATGGAGGCGTACGAGCCGCTCGGCGCGAAATCTTCCGGTGAGTATCGCGCGGCCGGCTGTATGCAAATCGCGGTATGTCAAATTCGCACACGAATGCACCGCGCGCTAGCGCGGTCGAAGAGAAACCCGAGCGCGGTCTTTGTGTGAATCAACGCGCAGCGCGAAACATTTTGATCGTTTTGACCATATCCTCCGTCATTTGCATAATTACAATTTTACGGCGGTATAATTCAGCACGCGGAAACACGCAACACGAGGCGTGGCTAGATGATACATCCAGGTCGCGTTTTCGAGCGGCTATCAAGATCACCCGAGTATCTTAGACGGAAATGTATATCGCTTTTATTGCGGCGTGGCTGATAGTCAGGCGAAATAAAATGTCTGTCATGCACGTCAGTATCGTAATTAAAACAGACACATATGCGCATCTGAAGGAAGCGTTTTCTGCCTTAAGCTTTTTGCTGCACGCTCTCGTGCCTCCGTGAATTAATTTGTACGTTATCTCCGACGGTTGGGAGTGTAGAAATTGATAATGCAAATATACCCGCTGGTAATTTCTTACAACTTCTCCAAACGCGTGTTTAGAGAATTTGACACAGCGAGACGTTACACGCTCGTTGTGTCAGTTTCCGCACGATTCGATGACGCACCACCAATATGTGCAATTTACATAGTTAGACGAGAATCGATGGGATATCTTATCCGACTAATAGACGAGCTCCTAATAGCCCCGACAGTCTTTCATCCGTGACGAACGCAGCTTATCATTATACCCGGCGGCGACGAGATAACAGCACTCGAGCGAGGTAATACGTCGATTCGACACCTAAGCGAGCGCGGCGCGTTAGAGCCGCGACAAAATCGCGCGTCTAATGAACCCCGCGATCATCGAATGAACACAGAAACAGGTTCGACACGTCGGACAAGCGCGCACCATGCTCAATAACGTCTAACGAGCTGCCGCCGCAGCGTTTCCCTGGAAATCGGGGAAATGCACGCTCGAAGGAGCGTTGCACGCGCTCGGATCTCGTTAATGCGAAAGCAATTTATGCCCGGTACACGCTCCCACTCGGTCGATTATATTTATGATTTCCACGTATACGCCTGATTCGCAATACTCTCAACAGCCGGCTGCACCGCGGCGGCGGCGGCGGCGGCGGCGGCGGCGGCAGCGGCGAGTGTTGCGCTCTGGCCGAGCACGAACGATAAGTTAATTAGCGCCGGTGTAACTGGTCCGCGATTAATCGGAACATATCGTATCCGTGTAAATTAGATGGCACGGTGAGCACACGGGGGTTACGGCTACGGCTACGGCGGCGGTGCCGCGGACGGCTACGCCGCGGAAAATGCAATTCGCCGACTCCGCCAGGTTGCACTTTATGGCGTTCGGTGCTTTGGACGTAAGATAAATTATCACGTGCGATAATTGCTGAAACATCGCCACCACAACTGCGGATGATTTCGGCCGTTCATTCGGTCGGCCTTTTTCTCTTTTAATTTATAGAGCGCGAGATCGCTGCTTTATGAGATGGCGAAGATGTCATTCACACGGGGAAAGAGAAGAGAAAGGGATTCTTCTTTACGAGAGAATATTTGACAAGTATAAAACAACTGTGAAACGCTGGAAGAAGGATCCGGTTGATTTTTACTTAAACTTGTGCGTCAAGATGGTATTTATGAAGTAGCGATGAAGACGTTATTTGAAAGTATAAGGATGAAAAGGATAAGAAGAGCTTATGAGAGAAAAATAGGGAGAGAGAGAGAGAGAGAGAGAGAGTATATATATTAATTATAAATTATATATATTACGTCATATAAATATAAAACTGTGTCGAGAGACGTAAGATGCCGGGAGAGAAATATTTTTGTCAGTGTATAATATCATTGCGCTCTTTCACCGTTAAAAGAGACGGCGAGGGACATATCGCTGGCGGTGAGAGACTTTAGAAACTTCCTTAACGATTCTTCCCGAGAGAGTTACTCGCTGTCTACATCCGATACTCCCGCAAACAATATTACATTAGCGACCTGGTCAAACACCTACGACATTTCGGCGACGATGACGAGCTGACGTGCGTTCCGGTTCCTGTTGCCAGCCGCCCTAGCGTTTTCGTCGTCGTCGTTTATCCATATTATCCCGACCGGTCCGTGTACTTTTCCCCGGCACTTTTGTTCGATTAGCGTCTAAAGGAAATTGTGTCGTAGCCGTTCGATGGTGTCGAAGTCAATGCCACGACGCAGCCTCGTGCCGCGTCCACATCGTCAATATATATAGATCGAGCAATTAATTGCGTAAGGCTGCAAATCAAGCCTCTGATGCGGGCAAAAATTTGCCACGATTACACAAACGGCAATCACCGCGCCGCAAAGAGAGGTCTCTCGAACAACGGCAGAAATGATCACATGCAATCGCTCACACACCTCTCGTGTAAATTTCAGACAGTTCAGCCGCGACTGATGACTCACGGCGAGATCGGCCGGCGACACGAAAGATGCCGGCATTATCGGAGAGCGGAGCTACGGCCGAATTAATTTTCACAGACACGAGCAGCTCGATTGCGAGCGCGCGGGCGAAATTAGGTGCCCTCCATTAGAGCGGTCCGGTCCGTTTACATTCACTGTCCGGTAAGTAGCAATAAATATTTGTTGGGCGACTGCCGAACGCGATTATTAGGTAACACATGGCCCCCGGACGTGCCTCCGTTGCTCGCTTTAAGTGTTCGCCTGCACGTTATACGGCCATTCCTCCGACTGCTCTTGCATTATTGATTCATTGCCCTCGGCATTATTCGAGTGTTCGCGTCATATCCGGCTGCTTGTTGCAGCGCCGATTAATCGGGAGGATACGTGAGAAATAATCGTGTTACACGAGAGACGACATGCATTCTCATAAGATGCCCTCTGTCCCTCCTGCAGCGGATTAATTAGAATTAACCGCGTGACTCATTGCGCTTCTGCGTACCAAAGCGCAAGGTATACATCGGCGTGCGCGATCGATCACCGAGCACAACGAGGATGCCGAGTCGTGTTTTGCGTTGCGAAGTATCTTTGTACAATATCGATGATTAGCAGAGTGTAACACCTGCTGTAGAATTCGAATGATTGAACCACTCCAAACATCTTCTAGACAACTTTGACTTCTTGTTGCTTTATCGATCACAAATTCAAAGTGAAAGTGAATCGGTTGTCAATCAAGTAACCATCATCGTTACTTACAATCCTTCGTTAAATTTCCAACGTCGACTTCCGTACATTTCCTCCGCGACAGGCGATTTACCGCGAAGCAGGCGGAAATCCGAATATTGAACTTTTCGACTGATCTCGATTGATTTTCAGTTGCAGAGTACACCCCCACACGAGACTCCTGCGAGACCGTGCAAATTTGCGAGTGTGACCGCCTGTGATGTCCCATCCGCACGGCGCGGCGGAGCCTCTCGTGCGATCGTCGCGTTTCAACGAGGAATCGCACGCAACAAGAAGCCGGAAAGCCGCGGTGGTCGGCGGCCGTCATTGATCTCCCGTTAGAATCGGATCACTTCGATGTAACAAGATAAATAGTCAGCGGGACACCGTCGGTGGTCGAGGGTGCGGATCGCGGAGTCATGCTGACTGTGTATCTGATCGGAGAAACGAGTACGCGCACGCTCGCCTGGCGGATAACTTAACGTGTTGTATGCCGCGGAGGTTCCCCGGCTGTACAACACAAGCTGATGGGACACTTTTCGATCGCACACAGTCGGCACGGCCGGCCGACCGCTGGAGAGTCGCCGATCATTCGCCCTCGCGTCGGAGCGCAGGCTCGAGTATGTGGCAGCGGTAATGCTTTCCTCGTCATACGTAATCGACATGGTTTCGCGTAAACGAATCGGCAAGCGTGCACGACCGCCGCGGTTCACGCAACCGCGCGAGGAAACAACGAGCGAGCTGGTTCCATCAGCTTGTGGAAGCGCGCATCGATGCTGCAACGTTGATCTTCCGATTCGTTCGGCCGATCGCGCTCGTCGTCTAATCGCCGATCTCACGATCTAACGACAAATTCTCGCTTTAACGTTTCCCATGGCACGCTCCGCCGGGGATGCCCCGGCTTCCCGAACCGAGCGCGAGCCCGATCGGCTTTTTGCCGAGCTCGGGCCGCTTCTTGCACGATCATCGGGACTTTCGTCACGGCAACACCCGGGGCACGTGACGCCGTGAACACGGTGTTACAGGTGTTCGGCCGGTTCGCAGTCTCCGCTCCGGTGACATCCTTTCGAATCGCTTCGTCAGACTTTCCCTCTCCCGGCTCGTCCTTTCGCCGCGGTGTGTTTCCTTCGCCACCCGCGAGTGAGAAATAGTTACGTTCTCTGGGAAAATGTCAACCGATCGCGCGCGCGCGCGCGCACTCGCGCTCGCTCTCTCGCGCGCGCGCGCGCGTCCGCGCGCACGAGGCAGCCGCGCTACGTCGACCGGTTCGTTCTACTTGGAGAGCCGCCTCGTCGCCACCCGCCATCCTCGTTTCTTCGCCGCTCGCTGCGGCATTGCGCGCGTTTTTGCCGGTATCCTGTCGGTATCCTGCGGCCAAAGACGAGCAATAACTTCGTTAACTGTTTTTACTCGGCATGCAGAATCGGAGGTTTCCGGAAGCGCTTCGACGATAGAACGTTTTAAAAGTGGGCTTTTTGCTGTCACCGCGTGCCCTCTGAGAGAGCGCTGTTATCGGACGACCGTCGCGGTCGCGACGCCGTTTCAATTGTCCGCCGAAACGTCCGGACCACTTGTTCCCTGTTCCATTTCAATGCGTAATGATACATTCGGCTGCGAGAGATATCGAGACACAGCGATCGAAAAGTCGGCAACCGGCGTGTGTGTTACTGCTGCTCGCACACTGCGGGTGCGGGCGCAAGAAGCAGTCGATTTGAAGAAAAACATCGAGACTAAGTGGTTTTTGCAGACGAAGAGGGCGATTGTACTATCCGGCTCGTTACAAACGCGGCCGCGATTACAAGTGGTCCGGATGGCAAAAAGTGCGCTAGTGAAACAAGCGAAGTGTGATCGCTTACGTGCGAGAGGGCGGGCATAAGCGATGAAAGGGGTGGTCGAATGGTATTGGCGAAGAGCTCGTCTGCTCGGCGAACCGTGGATTAAGATAAACCCTTCATCGGTTTCTTGTCGAACGATTCCTCTCGTCCTTTTGTCGGCGCAAGATAACGGTGGCTTAAAGTACTTTCCGTCCCCGCGCGGAAATTATTTAACGCCGCTATATCCGCCCCGCGCGCGCATGCGGCGCGAGGAAGGTTTCCAGCGCGATAGGAAACAGTAGAAAGCGCTGCGGAGGAAGGAGAGGAAATAAGCGCGGGAGAAGCAAGCTCGAAATTTACATCGCCAGTGGGCGGGGGGGGGGGAGGGGGAACAAAATCAGCCACACGTGACGCAGGGAAAAGTGGATCTCGCCGATGCTCACGCATGATGTTTAGAAAAGTCTGATATCTCTGGCAGTATGATTTATGCGTTTTAATTGCCGACTCAATGAATACGAAGTGATCTCAACACGCGGCCAAATATGGAAGACTAGGAAGATTTCCGAGAGAGAGGAATAGGAACGCGCCTCGCTGATTATTTCAACCGAGCTCTCCTCTCGCAAAATGCGAAGAAAATACACGTGTCTTTTTGTAATTGATCATTCATAAATACCATTAGATATATTTACGAATATTATTAGAGTCTTTCGATCGAAGAGCGAAATGTTTCACACGAGGAAATATTTCGATGTAGACGCGAATGGTGCATCGTTGCGAGCGGCTCGCTATTTCTCCTTTAATTTCACGCCAGTACGTGCTGCCGTGTAGAGGTGGATTTACGGCACGTTTCGTGGCGGTTTCTCTCGTTTTTTCCTCTTTTCTTCTTTTTTTTTTTCTTCATCTTGGCCGCGATGCGTAAGACGGTGAGAACGCGAATTGGCTTCGCGTTGTCGAACAACTCGCTCGGCCGCGGATTCTCTCGTACACGTTTAGCAACAGCGCTCATTAGAGTCGTCATAAATATGTAAGATGGTACATACCGCGGCGAATTGTGAAGATTCCCGCTCCATTTTTCATGGATCTGCATTATTTTACACCCGCTAAGATCAACGATCGCGTCGTAAAGTTACAGTTACATGACATTTTTTTCCGCCGAATTGCTGCAGCGTGTAAAGAGCGTACGCGCCTCAAACTTTCAGCCGGAGCGCGAGTGCAGGCTCGAAAATTTGATGACTTTTTAAAATTTTGCATTGATTTTAAGGACGAAAGGTCAAATGTCTCGATATCGTAAATATTCTCCGCTGAATACTCTGTTAATGTTTGCTCGCCGTCGCCTAGTAGTTATTGCTGCATTTCTCGACTATTATCTTATCCGTAATGATAACTTTGTCGCAACTATTGGGTTGCAAAAACATAAATTACCGAGCGCACGCTTATCGGTAATTTTTTGCCAAGAACGATTAGATTGATTTCGTTCATTGGATAATAAAATTAATCTTAATAATATCGTCGAGTGTATTAAACAAGCATTTCTTATCTGAAGATTTTTCGATAGCGAATTATCCGTAGTTTTCTATTTCTGTCGTCTTCGCGCGGAGGAATATTCCATAGCTGCATTTGAGGTGAACCGGCAGATCGACAACGTCATCGATTGTAATGCAGCAACGTCTGATTGCAACAATTATCGCTGTGATATCGCTGTTGGAATCGCAGTTATATCGTTGATCGACGCGAGATTGGAAATCAAATTTCTTTCCTCCCAATCTTATATTATTTTCATCGATCCTCACTCTTCTTCGAACGAACACACACACACACACACATACTTGCACACCACACACACACACACGCGCGCGCGCGCGCGCAAGCGAACGATATTATTACGCTCCAGAAGCAATTTAGGCTGTATACATCCCTAAGTTCGCCGGGGTGCCGTTGAAAAGTTTACCGATCCAGAAGCGCATCCGACGCCGACAGCGACGGCGGCGGCGGCGGCGGCGGCGACGGCGGAGCGCTTCCTCCAGTGAAGTTCCAGCAGGGTTTGATATCCCCCGCGAGCTACCCTTACATACATCCATACTGGGTGTTCCAGAAGTATCAACATTTCTTTCATCTACGACTTCTTGAACTGGACGTCGTATTTCCTCGCATAGTCGTCCGTCGTAAACATCTTGGCGAGACTAATTAACGCCCAGCCGCGACGCGTTAAATCGTCAAATCCCCAAACCCGCGAATGAGTCTTCGTTTGCGCTCCTGCGTTCTTAATGTTCGCCGCAACCTTATCGTCGTCGGGCACTTGTCCGGCCGACGCCTCAATTCACGCCCTGACAGAGTCAGTTTCCGCTAGCGAGCGAGTGTCGCTCCCAGCGCGCCACCCCTTGTGTTCACCGAGTGGTTATTGCTCGCCGGTGCACGAAGACTCATATTTTCCCGAATCGTTTTGTTTCTCGAGACGGTGTCTCCCGGAGAAGAGAGAGCGGTGGCACGGGTGGTCGAGGGTCTCGGTTAGGTAGGTCCGACGTTATACGTGTTTGACGGCGGAAGCTACGATATTATGGCCCGTTTAGCCCGTCTCCGAGCGCGACTCACCTCCTCTCCCGTCTTCTTCACCGTCGGTGAAGCTTCAGCCCCGAGAGCAGCCCGGTTCGGGTCGCGGGACTGGTCGAGTCCGTGGACACGAGCATTACGGACGGGATCAGCGGCTCGGTTTTCTGCCCGTTTGAGAAGCGCCGTGTTTGCCGGGCGTCGAAGGGCATCCGCGCAACCTGTCCGACGGGATGCTACCGCGAGCGACAGCCACGACGTTCGCGTCTCCACCGTCGACCGCGGGTGGGGAGAAAACTCATCGCCGATCGGCGGATCCGTCAAGCGAATTTCGATGTCGAGATTATTTATGGGATAGATGTCGACGGCGTCGTCGCTTCGATGGAATCTCGCGGCGCACCTCGGGACGTCGCGAGAATTGAGCTGGCTGGGAATACGATTCTTTACGCAGATTGCGTTCCTCGCGGAACTAACGCGCCGACGATGATTCGCTCGTCCATCTCGGGACCGGCGAGGTTATTGCGATTGGCTTGGAAGTGTCATTAAAATTGTCCTTCCCGGAATGATGTTCGGGAGACGTTCAAACTCGACTTTTTCACTCGCCGGCATTTTTGCGCTTCGACCGCTGCTGCCAAGAGCCGTCGGTTAATTTACAAACCGGTCGCGCGATTCCTTGTTATGGAAATACAGTAACTTCGATAACCCGACAGAACTTTGCGACTCCGCAGCCGTCGAGACGATTTGTTCCCTCCGCGCGGACGCATCGGCGCATGATGAAAACGCGAGGCGGATTCCAGGCGCGAAAGAAACTCGCCGCTTTTCCACGGATCGATCGATCAATATTCAACGTGCATGTTAATGCTCGATTAAGAGCCGTGCGGACGGATTCTCGCGGTCGTATCCTTGCATACGTGACATGCCGGGTAGGTCGCTTTTTCTATAGGTTTTGTAATAGCCGCGTCCGCGAGGCAGTCTCATTCGTATGCGGCGTGCGTGGCCGCGGAGGGGCTTATAAGTAACGCAGTAATGACATACCCTGTCATGGCGCGGGACAGTTTTCTCGGCTGCTCATTGTGTCGTTAAACGGCCGCGCGCTGCGAATCGCGCGCAAGCTGATTTATCGTCGCCATCAGGGAAATTCCGTCATGATCCTCTCCGGACCCCGCCCCAATCCCTCTCCCGGGTCTTTTTCCGCGTATCTGTGCGTATTTACGCCCGAGAAAACTGGTGCGGTACAATAATTCTTCGCGGAAAGCACACTG